TATTATTATTATTATTATTATTATTATTATTATTATTATTATTATTATTATTATTATTATTATTATTATTATTATTATTATTATTATTATTATTTAGTTTGCAGCTCATGAAGCAGAGCTGTAGCTGTCTGTTGCCTCTTACTAAAATAGCTAGTTTTTAATGTATTCTCTTTTTTTCCCCCTCTTGCCTCCCGCTTGGCTGTTTCAGTTCATTAGGTGGTGATGCTGGAGCTTACCATCAAGGGAGGACCTTAAGAGAATGCAGTAGAGGGGGGGGGGTGGAGGATACGCCTGACAGGGAACTTTCTCCACCCCCTCTGCAAGGGAACATCTTTGGGGACGGACGTCCCTGCCTGTGCCTCTCTCTCTCTCTCTCTGCGGGGAAGCTCTTGCTTCCAAAGGATTCCAACTAAGCTGACATCACGAAAGGTGGCTTATTGCTGATCGCTGCCGTAACTTTTGCCTCTTCTCCTTTGCTGCACCTGCCAAAGGCATCTGTATGAACTCAGAAACCCCATGCCAATTCCCTGTGGGTGGGCCTGGCCTGCACATGGTGCCTGGCTTTTTGTGACTTGGGCAGCCTGCCCACCGAGGGAGAGCAGAGGCCGCAGAGGGGCACAGGGAGGCAGGCATGGAGGACTCTGACCAGCGCTTGGTGCTGGGCATGAACATGGGAGATGGACGGCAGACACCTCCGGGGCAGCTGCAGGCTCCCTCCGAAGGCAGCGAGGAGCAGCGGGTGCCAGGGCCGGAGGCCATGTGTGATGGTGGTGGCGATGCCAAGAAGAAAAATGAGGAGGAAGAAGAAGAGGAGGAGGAAGAGCTTGACCCTCGCATTCAGGTGAGGGGTTGCTAAATTCCTTCTCTTGTGGCCACCTCTCCCTGACTACACTCTGAAACTTAGGTAGTTTGGGTCCTAAGGCAGACATGTCAAACACAAGGCCCGGGGGCCGGATGCGGCCCGCAAAGTGTTTTCATGTGGCCCGCGAAGCCATCCTGGAAACAGTGAGGGAACGGCCCCCGCTGCCTTGGCCCTGGCCCAGGCTGGCCGGAAGCCAATGTACAATTTTGTGGTGGCCATCTATGCTGAAATGCATTCAGTCTTAGCTCCACAAGGCCATCTGGAAACAGCAAGGAACCAGCCCCTGCCCCGTTGGCCCCGCCCCCTGGGTGCATGCTGGGGAGGTGTCATCCTTTGTGAGGAATGACGAAATGGACCATGCCTTGGCGCTTGCCCCGGTCCCACCCCCTTCTGCCAGAGACCCTCAGATCTGTCCCACTCCTGCCCAGGCCCCCACAGGCACCCATGACGCGAACGATGTAGAGCTGCCCACGCCCACCCAGTAGGCCACACCCACTCCATCCACGCCCACCTAGTAGGCTGCACCCACCCTGGCCACACACCCCCCAGGGCAACCGCAATGCTGATGCGCCCTCAATGAAATTGAGTTTGACACCCCTGTCCTAAGGTCTGGTTGCAAAAATCTAGGCAGCCACTAGGTGGCAGCAAAGGGCTACAGAAAAGCCTTTGCTGCCATTTAGTGACCCTGTGGCTGTTTGTAACCCATGTAGGTGGCCTTCAAAAACTTGCTCCATGCCACAGGGAACTGAAATTTAGCCTTCCTGCCTCCTGAAGGGCTACAGTCTGATTTTGATCTGCAATCTGATTTTGGATTATTTTTCAGGCATTCAGGAAGAAAATGGGAACAGTTTGTCTCTTGGAGACAAAAAGGGTGAAAGGAATTGTACATCAATACTCCTTACATTCCTAAATCTTGTCAATCCCCTTCATCCAGATAGAAAATTTTATTTTGAAAGCCATATTTTCTGGTTTAACAGAATAATATCTAGCAGACAGCAGGGTGTAGCAATAGCACTTAGACTTATATACCGCTCCATAGTGCTTTGCAGCCCTCTCTAAGCGCTTTACAGAGTCAGCATACTGTCCCCAACAATCTGGGTCCTCATTTTACCAGCCTCAGTACTGAACTCCAGGCTATGGGTAGACTTAGCCTGCAATACTGCATTCTAACCACTGCGCCACCACGGCTCTTAACTTTCCATTGTTTATTTTGTATTAAATAGAGGAATTTTTTTTCCTGCCTCTTCTGAATGCTTGAACAAATACATGCCTATGCATGAGTGTCTATGTTCCCTCCCTGTTTGGAAGTCAAGTAGGAACTACTAGACCAGGGGGTCTTCAAACGTGGCCCTTTTATGACTTGTGGACTTCAACTCCCAGAATTCTGGCTGAGGAATTCTGGGAGTTGAAATCCACAAGTCATAAAAGGGCCACGTTTGAAGACCCCTGTACTAAACCATGCTGAAAAGTGAATTCCAGCCCTCTGGATGTGCTGGGATTTTACAAGTCCTAAAATTCCCAGCTGGCGGCCATGCTGGTTCAGAATTATGGGTGCTGTAAACATCTGAAAGGTGCCAGATCAGAGGAGAGTTGTGTGCTGTGCTTAGTTCGGTGCCTTCTCTTAAGCCTCCGTCTCTGATTTTCTGCCCACAGGAAGAGCTGGAGCATCTCAATCAAGCTAACGAAGAGATCAATCAAGTGGAATTGCAGTTGGATGTACGGCAACAGAATCAACATTCCTTGAAGGGGAGGGGGAGGGGGGCTGTGGGCCCGAGATGTTCCTTCATGTCGTAGGGAAGGGAAAGCACCCCCAGTCAGGCAAGGAAGCGGAATGGGTTGACACCAGACATACGGATATTCCTTGACTTTACAACTGATCGCTTAGTGACCGTTCGAAGTTATGACAGAAGCGAGGGAAGAACGGAGGAATCTTCCAGCCAGAAAGATTGCAGTTAGAGCTCTCGCGCTCCCTGTCAGAGAAGAGACAGAGTAGTAGGCTTCAGGCCAGGAGATGAGCCGGTTGAGACCATCCGCTCTCTCCAGAAAAGTAGAGTCTCATCTGGTTAGCAGAGTGGTAGGCAACCTTGGCTCTTTTATGACTCGTGGACTTCAACTCCCAGAATCCCTGAGCCAGCCATGCTGAGGGGAAAGGGAGAGGTTTCCAAGCTGAGCTATGCTGGCTCAGGAATTCTGGGAGTTGAAGTCCACGAGTCATAAAAGAGCCAAGGTTGCCTACCCCTGTCCTAGAGAGTAAAAACAGGACATATAACCGTACGTTTATATAAATGTTTCAATTTATTATATAAAAACAGGATCTATTTATGTATTTACCTATTTATATAGCCAATTTGGTCTAGTGCAGGGATCTTCAAACTTGGCAACTTTAAGACTTGTGGACTTCAACTCCCAGAATTCCTGAGCCAGCCATGCTGAGGGGAAAGGGAGAGGTTTCCAAGCTGAGCCATGCTGGCTCAGGAATTCTGGGAGTTGAAGTCCACGAGTCATGAAAGAGCCAAGGTTGCCTACCCCTAGGTTAGCATAAAACCCAACTCTGCATTTGGACTCTGCATCTTCTGGGAAACAAGTTGTCTCTTGGAAGGTCTGCAACTTATGTGAGGTTTAAGAGTAGAGATGGGAGCAATAGGGAAGAAAAAAAACCCCAGCCACAAAATGTCTACCCCTTCGGAGATGGCCACCTGGACATCGGTGTCCCCTGGACATCCAGGAGGTTGAATTGCAGCTCCAGAGCGTTTCCAATGTTAACCACCCTCTCTTGTCCCAGGGATAAACAAGCTGGGGTTCGTGGCTTACAGCGGTCCTTGGAATGGCAGAACCCCAACAGAATTGCCTTGCTGCAGTTCAGTGGCAAATTGCAGATTTGGGGCAGCGTGATTTTTTTTGTTTTTGCTTTTGGTGCTGTTTAATAAACAAAGGCTAAAATCGTTTCAATCAGAATAGAGCTGAAAGGGACCTTAGAGGTTTTCTAGTCCAACCCCCTGCTCAAGCAGGAGACCCTATACCATTTCAGATAGGTGGCTGTCCAGTCTCTTGTTAAAAACCTCCAGTGATGAAGTACCTACAACTTCTGAAGGCAAGCTCTTTCGCTGGTTAATTGTCCTCACTGTTAGGAAGTTTCTCCTTAATTCCAGGTTGCTTCTCTCCTTGATTAGTTTCCATCAATTGTTTCTTGACTTGGCTTCTGGTGCTTTGGAAAATAAGTTGACCCCCTCTTGTTTGTGGCAGCCCCTCAAATATTAGAATACTGCTGTCATGTCTCCACTAGTCCTTCTTGTCTCTAGAGTGGCCATACCCAATTCCTGCAATTGTTCTTCATATATTTTTGTCTGCAGGCTCTTAATCATCTTAGTTGCTCTTCTTTGTACTTTTTCCAAAGTAGTAGTAGTAGTAGTAGTAGTAGTAGTAGTAGTAGTAGTAGTAGTAGTAGTAATAATAATAATAATAATAATAATAATAATAAATAATAATAATAATAATAATAATAATAATAATAATAATAATAATAATAATAATAATAATAATAATAATAATAATAATAAAAAGTTGGAAGGGACCTTGGAGGTCATCTGGTCCAACCGCCTGCTCAGGCAGGAAACCCTATACCATTTCAGACAAATGGCTGTCCAGTGTCTTAAAAACTTCCAGTGTTGGAGCATTCACCGCTTCTAGAGGCAGGTTGTTCCACTGGTTAATTGTTCTAACTGTCAGGAAGTTTCTCCTTAGTTCTAGGTTGCTTCTCTCCTTGATCAGTTTCCACCCGTTGCTTCTTGTCCTGCCTTCAGGCGCCTTGGAGAATAGCTTGACTCCCTCTTCTTTGTGGCAGCCCTTGAGATACTGGAACACTGCTATCATGTCCCCCCTCATCCTTCTCAACATCTTTTTTATAATGTGGTAACCAAAACTGGATGCAGTATTCCAGATGTGGCCTTACTAAGGCTTTATAAAGCAGTACTAATACTTCACATGATTTTGATTCTATGCCTCTGTTTATACAACCAAAGATTGTATTAGCTTTTTTGATTGCTGCTGCACACTGTTGTCAACTAGGACTCCAAGGTTCCTCTCACAGTTATTATTTTTGAGCCAGGTTTTTCCTAATCCGTACTTGTACTTTTGGTTTTTCCTACCTAGGTATAAAACCTTTCTTTTTTCCACATTAAATTCCATGTTGTTGGATAGGGCCCATTGTTAAAATCTGTCAAGATTTTTTGGGATCCTGAGATTGTCTTCTGGAGTGTTGGCTATTCCTGCCAGCTTAGTGCCATCTGCAAATTAGAAGAGTTCCCCTTCTATTCCCTCAACTAAGTCATTTATGAAGATATTGAAGAGTCCTGGGTCTAAGAGGGAATCCTGTGGCACCCCACTGCTTACTTCCCTCCATGTAGATGTGGTACCATTAAGGATGACTCGTTGAGTACAGTTTGTCAGCCAGTTGCAAATCCATCTGGTGGTGATGCTGTCTATCCCCCATTTTTCTAGTTTACCATGGAATAGGTTGTGGTCTGCTTTGTCAAATGCCGTGCTGAAGTCTAAGTATACTACGTCCACAGCATTTCGCTGATCTACTAATTTAGTCACTTTACCAAAGAATGAATTAAGATTGGTTTGGCATGATCTGTTTTTAACAAACCCGTGCTGGCTACCAGTTATAACTTTATTTGTTTCTAGATATTCACATATCTGTTTTTTGATAATTTTTTCCAGTATCCTCCCAGGTATTGATGTTAGGCTGATTGGTCTGTAGTTTCCTAGGTCTGTTTTTCCCCCCTTTCTTGAAGATGGGGACCACATTGGCTCTTTTCCAATCCTCTGGTAGTTCCCCAGTGCTCCAGGTTTTTTTTTTAAAAGATGTGGTACAATGGTTCTGAGATAACATCTGCCAGCTCCTTTAGGGTTGTAATCCATCAGGTCCTGATGATTTATATTCATCAAGGTCAGACAGGTGTTCTCTTACCATTTTCTTGCTTATTTTAATTTTTATTTCTAGTCTGTCTTTTACAGTTATGTTTTTGATAGGTTAGGCTTTAGTTTCTTTTTGCTTGAAGTCTGATACAAAGAATGATATAAGCAGCTCTGCTTTCTCCCTATTGCTTGTTACTTCCTTGCCATCTTCTCTCTTTAGTGGACTGACTGTTTCCTTGACTTTTTTTCTTGTTATTTATAGGTTGAAATAACTTTTTTTATTATCTTTGACTTTTGTTACAAGTCTTTGTTCATTATGAGCCTTTGCTTTCCTGACTTCATCTTTGCAGATTCGGACTATCTGCTGATATTCTGCCTTAGTTATGTGTCCCTCTTTTCATTTTTTGTATTTATCCTTTTTGTCTTTCAGTTTATCAGAGAGATCTTTGTGCAGCCATGCTGGTTTCTTTTTAGATTTCTTGTTTTTCTTTTTCAGTGGTATTGTGTTGGACTGGGCTTTTAGGAACATATTTTTCAGTATTTTCCATGCTTCTTGAATTGTTTTCCCCTTTAGGATTTTTATCCATGGAATTTTTCTTAGGCCCTCTCTGAGTTTGTTAAAATCAGCTTTTTAAAAGTTGCGTTTAAATGCTGTGTAATGTGATGCAATTAAAGTTGCATCGATGTTACTCAGAATACAAATCCTAAAATTCCTCTCTGAATTGGAAATGCTCCTCTCAGAATTCATCTGTATGCTAGGATTACTATTTCCAAAATTCCCAGCAACAGTGACAATATATAGGAGGCACTGAGTTTGGGAGGACTGTTTTTTAAAGTATTTTGAAGTCATTTGAATAGTGCTGCTAAGTCAAAAATGTAAAGGTTGCGGTTTTTTTACTCCAAGTAAGTAAGATCAGTTAGTACTTTGGCCTAGTTTAAACTATGGAGCCAATTCTATGGCTTCTCTTGCAAATTGTATCGGCCTGCTTGGCATGACGGCGAAGTTCAACTCCCCAAGAACCGCCGGTAACATGAGATTATTTCTTGTTAAGGCTAGTGACGGATAGGACTTTTGTTTGAACCCAGTGCTTTGCAGTTGCTCTTGCCCTATCACCTTTGGGACTTCCCTACTGCTGCTCATATGCATTTAACATTTGGGATAGATTGGCACCATCAGGGCTTCTGTGGCTGGTCCAGACGGTGGCCGTGTGGTATGGACGCCCTGCCTGAGCCACCGTTGAACATCCAATTTGCACAGCATTGAAATCAGTTGCAGAGAAAGAATCTCGGCAAGGGCACGGGCAGGCTAGAAAGGCAAAATCTGAATAAGAGTAATAAATATGGCAAGAATTGTAGAGGGGGGGATGTTTATTAAAGATGCTGACACAGTTTGTGCCTTTGGTCTTAACAGGAGGCCCGCACCACGTACCGGAGGATCTTGTCTGAATCGGCTAGGAAGCTGAATACTCAGGGCTCCCAGCTGGGAAACTGCATTGAGAAAGCACGCCCTTATTATGAAGCCAGGCGCTTGGCCAGGGAGGTACGCAGGCCCTGGCTTTTCTTTCTTCTTTTTTCATATGTTTTTATTTTATTCAAAAACAAAGTTAAAACACGGAACTCAAAAAAAGTCCAAGGAGACAAAAGAGAAAAAAAAACACAAAACACAAAACAAAGCATTAAAAAGGTACATAAAAAACCCCACATTATAAACATATTATCCCCTCTAGTTGAATACTGATTCATATATTACTACAACATTAATTCCTACCTCTAGTGCAGCTTGGAAACCTCTCCCTTTTCCTTCAGCATGGCTGGCTCAGGAATTCTGGGAGTTGAAGTCCACGAGTCATAAAAGAGCCAAGGTTGCCTACCCCTGTTCTAGTGAAACAGGCCCTCCCAAAAATTTTAAACTACTAAATCTATTTGAAACTTGTTGACCTGTCTTCCATATGTTATATTAATGACAAAGTAGTTAACAGGAAGAACAATAATAGTGACCTTGGCCGTGGCCTTTCATGAATATATAATTTATCTTCTGCAGTTTTAACATCAGAAAAAAATTATTTTTATTTTATTATTTTATTTTATTATATGCTTATTTAATTTTTAAGAGAGGATTCATAAAATGTTGGAAAAGATGGATCAGCATGAAAGAATGGAGTGGAGTGGAGTGGAATGGAATATAGAATAGAATAGAATAGGAATAGAATAAAATAGAATAGAATCGGAACAGAACAGAAACAATAGAATAGAATAGAATAAAAATATAGAATAGAGTAGAATAGAATAGAATAGGAACAGAACAGAAACAATAGAATAGAATAGAATAGAATAGAATAGAATAGAATAGAATAGAATAGAATAGAATAGAATAGAATAGAATTCCTTATTGGCCAAGTGTGATTGGACATACAAGGAATTTGTCTCAAGTGCATAAGCTCTCAGTGTACATACAAGCAACAAGTGATAAATCATGATCGTAATCATAAAATACATTCATCATAAATCATAAGATACAACACAGTGATAGTCATAGGATAATAAATAAGCAATCAACACAAATCATACCAAGATACTAAATAAAACAATTTATATAAATTGTAAGATACAAGCAACAAAGTTATAGTCATAAGAAGATAAGGAATAGGTAATAGAAAAAATGAGAAGAATAACAGTAATACAGCCCTACTAGGTAGTTTGACAGTGTTGTGGGAATTAGTTGTTTAGCAGAGTGATGGCATGGGCGAAAAACTGTCCTTGTGTCTACTTCTGGCATGCAATACTCTATAGTGTCATCTTGAGGGAAGAAGTTTATGTCCAGGATGCAAGGGGTCTGTAGATATTTTCACAGCCCTCTTTCTGGCTCATGCAGTATACAGGTCCTCAATGGAAGGCCGGCTATACCACTGCTTTCATTTGTGTTTGGTTAAGCGAGCCATTGCTTTTCCAAAACTATTAAAGTCTCTTTCCAATCACATCATTCTCTCTTCCTGTATGTAAGATCAAAGGCTGATATGAGTCTAAGGCAGTGATGGCGAACCTTTTAGAGACCGAGTGCCCAAACTGCAACCCAAAACCCACTTATGCATCGTCGGGTGCCGGGTGGGTGTGGCCCATTGGCTGGGTGTGGCCCATTGGGTGGGCGTGGCTGCGGTGGTAACGGCAGACTGGGTGGGACTAAAAAGTTCAATCAATCAATTCCAACTTTGCAAGATCTTTTTTTTCCCCGCGAGAAGTTGAAATTGACTGATTGATTGAACCTTTTTTTTGTTTGCACACGGCTGCGGAGGCCTAAAGCGAAAAGGTTTTATAAAACCCAGCTGAAGGTCTAGGACTGGGGCAACGGCAGGCGTGCCCACAGAGAGGGCTCTGAGTGCTGCCTCTGGCACCCGTGCCATAGGTTCGCCACCACTGGTCTAAGGAATAAAGGATCATTGATTAGATATTAGTCCTGTCCAACTGATTGACCAGTTTGAGAGCTGAGAACTCTTCTGACAGTATCTGAGCTTTGAGCTGGCCCCCTGCAGCCTTACATTCTTGTGCTTTCTTACGAGTTTTGATTCCTATGAGAACTCTAGAAAAGCACGGTTAAATATAAGCTGACTCCAGTTTCCAGTATTTGCTGCTATGATATCAGAAAGTGCTGACTCAAACTCAGTAATTCAGTTTTTAAAAAGTTGTGAGATGATAGGCATACTCTTTACATACACGCTGAGCCCTCCTTCCCCCCCCCCCCCAGGCTATAAGACAGTGTTGTGGGAATTAGTTGTTTAGCAGAATGATGGTATTGGGGGTGGGGTGGGGAAAACTGTCCTTGTATCTAGTAGTTTTGGCATGAAATGCTCTTTTTGGTGTGCAGCCCCAAATGGTACAGATGCCTCGTGAATCTCATTTGTTTCAGGTCTCAAAGGCCTTGTCAAATTCCAGCTCTAGATCAAATCTGACAGAAGTGAGAAAAATACGATGGATGTTCTTCCCCCAAGAGGAAAGGAGAGACCAAAGAAACCGATTCCTTTTCTCAGTTGTATTCAGGCAATGTTCAGAGTGATGGTTGTTGTTTAATTAACATTCCTGATTCCATTTTTCCTGCTTTCTGGCAGGCCCAGCAAGAGACCCAGAAGGCTGCCCTGCGGTACGAACGAGCTGTTAGCATGCACAACGCAGCCCGGGAAATGGTCTTTGTGGCTGAGCAGGGAGTCATGGCAGACAAGAACAGGCTGGATCCCACCTGGCAGGAGATGCTGAACCATGCCACCTCCAAGGTGAAGTTCTTCTTCTAGGGTGGAATTGGACTGACCTTTCCAACTTGATGGGCTCCAGATGATCCAGGAGGATTCCAGACAGGGAAATGTTGCTCTGGAGCAACCCGTGGATGTAGCTTCCGTAGCGTCGGAAAGCAGCAGTTACCATAAAGATGGAGAGAAGAGGCTAGCAAGTTCTGATACTGGTTCAGTATGTTCAGTAACTCTGATTCCTCTGCCCTTCAGGTGAACGAGGCTGAGGAAGAACGCCTGCGCAGCGAACGGGAGCACCAGCGGGTCACCCAGCTCTGCCAGCAGGCCGAGGCAAAGGTGCAGTCACTCCAGAAGTCCCTGAAGCGAGTGATTCTGAAGAGCAAGCCCTATTTCGAGCTGAAGGCTCAGTTCAACCAAATCCTGGAGGTGAGGCCAACTTTTGACCTTGCCCTGAGTCCCTTGCCTATGCTAAACAGGCAGGAGGGGGAGCAGATGTTGGTCTCTGCAAGACGAGGTCTATTGTTTCCCATCTATCCTGAGACTAAGCGAGAGAGCTAGCTTCATCTTTTCCTAATGAGATACATATTCCACTCCTAGAACATGAAATTACGAAACTCCAGGCACAGATTTGAGATCATGACTCTTCCAACTCAAGTGAAACATTTGGGTTATCTTGGGAGGAAAAAAAAAATAAACCCTCCTTCTGAGTCAAGTTCAAATTTGGTTGCTTACATGGAGATGCCCATGTAGTTTCCTTGGTAGATACAGTAGTGGCCAAAATTGTGGAAACCTTTTGGGAAAAATGTATTTTTGAGGTTTGATGGCTAATAACACCACCATAAAATTATATATCAATGGAAAGATAATTTAATCAAGAATGTAATGCAACAAAGTTTGTTCAATTATCTGTACTGTATTCTATGAAACGTTATAGCCAAATAACCAGAGAAAGGAAGCACAACTTGCTTAGGTTGATATCAGGTAGCTTTCCTTCATCTGATTGTAGCCAATGAGCATGAGTGTTTAGAGAGCCAATCAGTTATCATCTTGTTTTGGCAATGAGCCAATCAGATCACAGTAGGATTCAGTTACTGATGTCATATATTGAAGCTGAGAGGGAGGACATTTGTCAGTGTGTTATGTGATCGCTATCAAGTTGGTTGGGGTTTTTTGTGTTCTTTCATTTAGTGAGCTTGTAAAACGTAATAAAATTACAGTAATGGTGCAAAGAGTTGACTGGTTTCCCAGAAAGCAATGTAAAATAATAATATTAAGTGAACAAAGCTACAGTTATAAAGAAATTAGAAGAAAAATTGGTGGCAAAGGTGGCATTTCTACTGTACATTTTTCCCAAAAGGTTTCCACAATTTTGGCCACTACTGTAGTATGGAAGTGGTTTGCTATTGCTCTGTTGTCATGTAGACCCATCTGTCATACTCGCTTAGAATTCAGATTTTCAAATGGGATGGGAGAGAATTTGGAATTCTAGGTGGAAATTGGGAATTGACTTTGGAATAGTGGATTCCCAGCTGGTTATACACAGCCCAAGTGCACAACCTTTGGGGCTGCAAACTCCTATCCTCTTTTTAATTTTGATTTTTGTCTCTCCCATCCATCTTTTCTACCTAATGCAATCTTAAACCACAAAGTTTAACTACTCACTCAGTATTGAAGGTGGCCGAGGAGTGTCCTTCTGTGGGTGTCTACATCTGCCTCCAATCTTCCTCAGTTTTAGAATAGTGTTCCTAAGGCAGAGATCTTGTCCTCGGTGTAATACAATAATGCAGTGGTTCTCAACCTGTGGGTCGGGACCCCATTTGGGGTCGATCGACCATTTCACAGGGGTCACCAAGCAAGGCTGTCCGCCATTTTTTTGCCCACCATTTTTTCCCCTTTTCCGGCGGGTGCCTTACCTCCCTTGGGCTGGGCCAGCTGGTGGTCGGCCTGCTCCGTCTCTGCCGCTTGCCAGCTACGCCTCGGCCGGCGCAGGGGGTGGAACCACGCATGTGCGGCACTCCAGGGCAGGGAAAGTCCTCGACTTACGACCGGTTGGGTAGTCCTCGACTTATGACCGGTTTAGTCCTCAACTTACAACCAGTTTAGTCCTCGACATACGACCGGTTTAGTCCTCGACTTACGACCGGTTGGGGTCGCGGCATTAAAAAGGTTGAGAACCACTGCAATAATGTATCGATGGGTGTGATGTTAACCTTCATGGTAGATTTTCTTGCCCGGTATTCCTTGCGTTTTAGGAGCACAAGGCCAGGGTGACGTCCCTGGAGCAACAGGTTGCCCAGGCCAAGATGCGCTATTCCGTAGCCCTGCGCAACCTGGAGCAGATCAGCGAGCAGATCCACGCCCGGCGGCTCCAGCGCTTGGTAGGACGCCGTGCTTCCCCAGTTGGTGCTGAAGCCAGCCCGGCACTGCTGTACGGCGGGATGGTGCTACCTCCTGAGCCTGTTTCCTCGGCCGACACGCTTTCGGTCCTCAGCTTCCAGACCATCGCCTCTGACCTGCAGAAGTTTGACTCAGTTGAGCACCTGCTGGGCCTGTCCGATGCTGCCAGTCTCAACAGCGATGAGCTGGAGGAAAGGGAGCAGCGGCGGATGTCTCAGCCCCACCCCTTTAAGCATCACCGCAGCATCAGTCTCTGACCTGTCCCTTCTCCCACCGCCCCTTTAAGTCCTGGCCTTCAGAAGATTGGGGAGGTGCTGGTTCCCAGGCACCAGGAGAAGTTGCAAGCAGAGGCGTGGATTCCACAGTGATTTTGGCCTCATCCATCTGCAGTGTTGATTTCTCCCCCCCTCCCCTCTCTCTCTCTCTCTATATATAGGTGCAATCCCAGATTTTCTGCCCTTTTAATCTCCCCGCTCAGGGGTTCATCCAAGTCCCAGTTTATGGGAGATTTTAGCGTTCTGAATCCCACCCTACCTGATTCATCAGGCTGCTGTCTCCCCGAGCATGCCCCTCTTTCCTGGGAGCATTGCATGCCAGAAGTAATTCTGCAACTTTGCACTTTTATCCTGGCTTGTTGGATCCCTGGTGATGTAGTTATTCTTGGCTGCTGGAAGGCTGTCTAGAAGCTGAGAGAGGTGTTGGGAGGGAAGCAGCTTTGCTCCTTTTAATCTTTCTTTGGGGGTGGGGGGGGAAGATGAATATAAGTGGGCTGTAGAGCTACTAGTATAGAGATGCTCCCCCGCTCCTCTCACTGCGTTTGAGAGAACTTCCTACACTGCTTTTCCCGGAGTTGCCATGCAAGGCTGTACGTGACAATATGGCTCTTTTAAAGAAGAACTTTGGTGCCCCACAGGGCTTCTCTGATTCACTACCACCCATAACTGACGAGGCATGCCATTTGTCCCTCCTTTGCAACAGAGGGCATGCACACTCACACACACACACACACACACATACATGCAAGATGGCAGCCGCCCACCTCTTTCTAGCTTCTCCTAAGCAGAGACATGCTGCCTTGCCTCATTGCAAAAATCCAGTGGAGAAACTGGTACCACGATGGTACCGTCCAGCACTCCCAGGAGAAAAGATGTGGGGCCCCCACCTACCCAATACCCTCAGCACAACCCTTTCTGCCGTGTGTGTGTGTTCTAATCTTCCAATCGTTTGCACTAGCAGGTGGCAAAAAGGGGGGACCGGATTCTGTCGTCCAGCAGTCCCCGTCTTTCCATGCCTTTCGCCGGGTGGGTGGGACCGGGCAAGTGGGGAGCAGTTTCCGCCGCTCAAAACGAATTTGCTGGACTTTGGCTGTGATGAGAACTTGCTGGTTTGAGGCAGCCATACATCAGCTCTGTACATGTTTCTGTGTGCGCGTGCGCGCACGCGTGTGTGGAGGTTTGTATGACCGGCTTATGCTGTGTATTTTATTTAAAGTAAAAGTTTATGCCCTGTCAAGTGGCTACTTTCTTTTTATTTTTGCTAAGTGCAGCCAGCTACAATGTGTGTGTGTGTGTGTGGGTGTCTCCACCCCCAAGCTGTGGTATTGAAAAAGCATGGGAGGTGGGAGAGATCATCTTCTGTAGGAAAATAGAGAATTGCACAAGCTTCATCCCTTCTTCCCAAATGTTTTTTGCTGCACGAACAAACTGGAGTGATGAGGCAAGCTTCCCCATCCTTGGTAGAACGTGAAAGGTTTTGTAGTTCACACAACCATATGCCATACCAACGAGAGCAAGAAATACAGACCTTTTCTCTGTACTGTATGCAGAATGTGTCTCCTGAATGTACCTTTTTAACGTATCTAGTCCTATCACAGTAAAAAAGAGAAAACAATCAGATATAATAATAAATAGCCCCAAAACCAAAATAAACTGGAATGTAACTTGAACACAGAGGACGAAAGCAAAAAAAAAAAAAAGGGAAAGGACAAAAAAAGTAAATAATTTTTGAGCAAATATAGAATGTACCAAAAAATCAGGTCCCCGGAGGCCAATTTCAATAGATTTTATTAATATTTTTGTTTTTCAGAGAAAATGTTGCCATGCTCAGGAATGTTTAAAGGTCCAATTTGAACATTTAATGTAATTTATATAATGAATTGTCTTTGGGGCATGAATTTTGGTACATCCTATATAACCACGTCAAGTTTCAAACAACAAAGGCTGGCTGTATGAAACTGTATTCATCAGTTTCCTATGGCATCAGCAGAAAGCCAGTTCTTGTGTAAAATGTAGGGTTTTAAGTTGTCTCCACCAAAATAAAACCATCTTCCTAGTTGTAGATATAGATGCAGCATTCTTTGTACTTCAATATAATGCAACATGTTCAAAAAGCATGTTTTCTTTTGTGAGCACCGTATGAATCATTGAAGATTAAACCAAAATTATGTCAGCCTAGAGCAGGCCTACAATCTGGGCCAGAAACCAATATACTTCACTTCCAACACATAGAAGGTGATCTCCAACCCTAATTATATATCCTTGAAGAGATCCAGTATACCCAGAAAAGAATATTTTGTTGAATTAATATCATTCAGGGTACAAAGAAGAGGGAGTCAGGCTATTCTCCAAGGCGCCTGAAGGCAGGACAAGAAGCAACGGGTGGAAACTAACCAAAGAGAGAAGCAACCTAGAACTAAGGAGAAACTTCCTGACAGTTAGAATAATTAACCAGTGGAACAACCTGCCTCCAGAAGCAGTGAATGCGCCAACACTGGAAGTTTTTAAGAAGAAACTGGACAGCCATTTGTCCGAAATGGTATAGGGTTTCCTGCCTGAGCAGGAGGTTGGACTAGATGACCTCCGAGGTCCCTTCCAACTTTATCATTATTATTATATAATATCATTCTAATTAAATATTCTTTACCCTAACTTAATTTACTTGTTAAAACAACATTCCTACTCAGTATTCCAAATAACTTGCAGCCCATTTCTAGCCTAACATAAATTTAAAACTGAATGAAAAAAAAGTAAATTTAGGACATTTGAAATGTTTTTTTCTAATATTAATCATCATTGAAGCCTAGTTAGATGTAGTTCATGCACCCAGGTTCAAATTATACATTCAAGAGCTCTTTTAATTACAAGTACTGGTGCTGGGCAGTCAAATTGTTTTTGTGAAACATCATATGTTTTGAAAAACTGATTGGTAATAAGGTCACCTAAACTAAGTATTAATGCTTTTTTCTCTGTGAACTATAGAAAATTGGCTGGCAAGCCCCTTAAGGAAGAGGGTTACCCATAAAATCATCTTATGAGAGTTTTGGATCACATTTAAATCTGCCTGACATATTCCAAATACGTCTTGTAGCTTTTGATGGGGAAGAATCAAACTGAAACCAAGACTGCTAAAATATGAAAGGGGCAAGGTGACATCTTTCTAGTTTTGGCCATGGCGATTTTTCAAATAAAAACAACTGGTGAATGAAGGCAAGAAAACAACTGAATCTCAGGAAACAATATAGGTCAACATATACAGATGCATTAGGTCTGCAAGTCCCCAAATCAAATTCTGAATGGTAATGTCCCAACAAAACTCTTCTGTTTTTCTATATATGATATCTTTGTTTTCTGAAAAAAAAACTGGATGGGTCACAGTCTTTATGACAGATGGGTACAGTGGTGATGGCTGCAAGCAATTGAGTATAATTGTTTATGAATAGATTACCATCACCATCTTGAACTGAACATGGAAGCATTTTGAAACATCCATTAATCTGGTAGGATTTGTCATGTTTAATGCTATCCAGATTTGACTTCTTAGTAATATTTGCATTCTTTGTTCTTAAGACCAATCCATCAGTCTGGTCACATTCATGAGTTTTCAAGGGAAAGCATCTTAATGGGCTTCTTAGGAAGGATTAGATCAGTGTTTCTCAACCTTGACAATTTTAAGGCATGTGGACTTCAACTCCCAGAATTCCACAGCCAGCAAGGCTGGCTGTGGAATTCTGGGAGTTGAAGTCCACATGCCTTAAAATTGTCAAGGTTGAGAAACACTGGATTAGATGATGCTGAAAACCAAAGCTAATTGTTCATGACCAAAGCAAACATTTCTTCTGTACATGGATTATCATCATTTTTTTCCAGTGCAAACTCTTCATCTGAGAGCACACTCATTAGAATCCATAGGACTCAGCCATGACAAGCTATAATTGTTGGAAGCCAAGAAATTTTAAACTTTCTCCCAAAAGGAAATTTTTGACATGGCTGCTGAAATCCCACCAACGTATCATTTATTTTAGAAGGCATGAATGTTTGCTTAGGCACTAGCTGGTATAGAAAAGAAAGAGGAATATGAACAAGATCATCTGGGGGGAAAAAGAAATACAACTGAATTTTAATTCATTGTGGTTTAGTCAAGTAATCAAGCAATAAAATAACAATTCCAGGAGTACAAATAATTAATGGTTACAAATGCAAAGCACATACAGGAAAATAACAACCCCAAAAAAACATTGCTGTAATAAGCTGTCTTTCTGACACTGAATCATGAAATCCTGTACTTCAGCACCCCACTGCAACTTTTAACAGAATCAGTTTGAGTTTAATACCCTGTTAACCAGAAAGTAGTTTAGTTTGGGCTTAGCTGATGGATCCAATCACTGTGGTTGTAAATCATGCTTTGCAGGTCAGTGTATTGCATAAATAGGATACTGTAGCTTATTCATCAAGCCATAGTTAAAAATCATGACTTAATGAATGTAGTTCTGATTGTTATGCCTGATTTAAGTATGATTTATATGCCTGATCTATACATCTGTTTTTTTCTCCACAGTTCCTTTGGAAAGATAGTTTCCTCTAGGGAGAAATAATATATCAGTTTTGTTCACAAATCATGTTAAATCATAGTCAGGGTTTAGAATGCTAGGTGAACTCAGCTACTGTGGGTTGTAAACCACGTTGTACGGATTAGTCCAAATGTGACTCCAACCAATTGCAGTTTCCTCAATAAACCACTATTAAACAAACCATGGCTTAGCCTGATATATAAATCCACTGCATCGATATTTTCAAAACAAATAGCAATAGAAATATTTAGCTATTTGGATTGTCCTGAAAATATCTTGCAATTATCTAAATAACATAATTCATTTCCATAACAGAGAAACACATTCTTACATAATATTGTTTACTCATCTTTCCTTAATTTTGTCACTTCAGTGTTGTGGAATGCATATTCATCTGCTTGCATTCTCAGAGTGAAAATGAACAGAGTTTTCTCAGTTCTTCCTGCTAGATTCTAGAGCAGCACTGGCTCGGAAATTCTGGGAGTTGAAGTCCACGGGTCATAAAAGAGTCAAGGTTGCCTACCCCTGCTCTAGAGGAATGT